TGAAGAAAGGCGATGTCGTCTGGATTAAAAATCCGCACAGCAAGTGCACCACGAAATACGGAATCGGACGCGTCACTGAGGTGATCAGCCCACAGGCGGTACGGGTCGACGGTGTGCCCCGTCACGTTAAGGACCTGCGTCCGTCGACGCAGTTGCAACCACCGCTGGACGATGAGAGCGAATCGGAATCTGAGACCAGTGAGGCATCGCTCTGGTTCACGCCAGCCCCATCAGGCAGTGACTCGGATATCAGTAGCCTTCAAGGGACGCGGTGTCTTTCGACCCTCAGACCTCAGACAGGAGCACAAGCAACGATGAGGCTCGCAGCGTCCCTCTTCGAAGAAGTTGGCGCAAGCGATCACCACCTCCCTGTCAACTCTGTGATTGAGATCAGGGGGAGTGTGGGGAAAATAGAAACGGCCTACCTCGCAAACGTTCTCGCATCTTCCTGGCCTGTGGGTTGAGAAAGGAAAGAAAAGATTCAAAATGGCGTCCGTGACTTTTAATATTCACGGTCGTGCAGTCACGCAAAGTCGCGTTACACATGCTAATGAGGTGTGTCTGGGCTCCATAAAAAGCAGGTTGCTTGGAGACATTGGCAGACCAACATTTCACCCGTGCTTGGTGTACATCGTTTTGCGTTGCAGACATTTTCAGACGGAAAGAGTTGCGTCCCTTACACTGTTTAAGTCGACTCATTTGCTACATTATTACCATACATCTCTAGATATCTCGCGTCGAACTGTCCTGGGTGTTGATATTGAAGTCCTCCACCTCCTTGACTTGGTTTTATGATATTAAAAGATGGATTGGCATGACCATGGCTAAGGCTGTAAGCGCGTCATCAGAGAGAGAAAGATGGAAGGATGCTGACCACAAAACAGGCGCTAACTGAATAAATCGTGATATATATATATATATATAAATTCAAATTTCCATAATATAGGCTTAACTTAATTAGCTGCTATATTTTCATAATATTAACTGACCTCCAAATGTCGAATGTATAACTAATTCTAATTTCTATATTCCCCCTCTATGACCTCTTTACACTATATTAATTATAATTTATAAACTTTCCCCCTAGGCTAAGATCTCGCCAACTCTCGTTCCATTAATCCCTTACACCCCTTTATCTATATATCTTTATCTATATATCTTAAAGTTATTTTAAACCCTTTTTTGTTATTCCTCTTAGTTTTAAATTAATATAATAATATTATAACCCCAAATTAATGTCATATGGTTAATATTCGGGTTTAATTTTATAAAACTTCTTCCCTTTAAGACAAATAACTTCCCCCCTCCCCTGACCCCTGTCTTGGGCCTTTTGATTGACTGAAACATTAAAATGGATAAAGTTTTATCCATTAGTTTTTCAACTGTTTTTTTTTTTTTTATCGCTTTCACAGTTAAATTTCTATTTCTGTCACAAACTCAGATCACACCGGGGTTTATAAGACAGACGACTGATATTTTCGTCTGCCGAAATAGGCTATTCCTTTTATGAGGCGATTTGGGATTTTATTGTTATTAAAATATATATATATATATATATATATATATATATATATATATATATATATATATATACAGTAGCGGCCATAATATAAAGAACGGAAACAACAAAGACATAAATATGTGTATTACTTCAAAAGTAATGCAGGATTGGCAATGACATTTTTACCGAATAAAGATTAGGGTGTAAAATTTACATAATAGTTTGTTTTTTTTTAAATAAAGGTTAAATGGAACAAAGGAAATGTAGTATTTAATCAAAAATAAAAATTCTGCTCCGCCCCATCTTTCTTTTAATAATTATATAATATTTTGAACTTAATGCAGCGTAAATTCAAAATTTAACTTTGCAATTTTTATTTTTAATGTTATTATGAAATGATAAATTAGTTATAATAATTCCTAATTTAACCTAACATTTACATTAAGGCATTAATTAATTATATTGGGGTTTGTTGTCAAGTTTCTTTAATTATCATAGACTTGTATTTTGATTGGTCATTGGTGCTTACGTAACAATGTTTACCCTACAGAGATGAGTTTGGTTGGTTTTGAACTTTTTAAAACCCTTTATTCTGAAATCGACATCATCACCTGACAAAACACCAGAAGTGTTGAAACAAAATGGCTATTTTTGTAGTGATTTTACAACATGCTTATGTTATAATTTTTTAATAAATACTATTTGCTCTACTCTGTATTGAGCACTCTTTTAAGAATAGTATTTTTGGTTATTGGAATTTTATTCCGATCTATACCATTCCTACATTTGTATATATATATATATATATATATATATATATATATATATATATATATATATATAAAAGTAGACACTGAGGTCAAAAACGAGTGGCGATAGTCTGCTTCCTGCTTGAACGCAATCTTCAGGCCTGAAAAATTACGTTCAAGTATGAATCATAATGTCACCGCGTCCAATTTTATATTTACATGCGCTCTGTCGCTGATACTGAACTCTTTTACCCATAGATATAGCATACCTTAAAATCATATTTTAGCGCATATATATATATATATATATATATATATATATATATATATATATATATATGTATGTATATATATATATATGTTCCTGAAGATTGCGTTGCACATGAAATCTAAGTCGTGCTATTGGTGAAGAAAAAATGTATATTTATTAATATACTCCTAATAGCTCTGTTATATTGCATCGGTCACTATTTTATTAATACCAACACTCAATGTGCGTTATTTTATATTCATATATATATATATATATATATATATATATATATATATATATATGTGTGTGTGTGTGTGTGTGTGTGTGTGTGTGTGTGTGTGTATATATATATATATATATATATATATATATATATATATATGCTACAATGGCATCAAGAACAAGGCAGCATCAAACATTGTCAAGCTTCGTCAAACAAGGGAAAGGAATAAAATATCTGCTGCTGTTCCAGCCACATACTCCAAGAATCCACACTCTTGCACAATCTGTGGACTTCTTTTGCAAATCACTAGCCGGACTGAAGTGTCACTTGTGACTCACACACAAGGTTAAATAAACAAAGTTGTCGGAACCTCATACGTCGAAACCGACGGGGAGAGTCCATCATATATATATATATATATATATATATATATATATATATATATATATATATGGGGGAACAGTATTTGTACACATAAATTTTATTCATTGTATTTCAAAGTACTGGATAAATATGCATTTCATATAATTATCTGTACACAGATGCATAATAACTAAATATGCATAGAAAACAGAACGATTTAATAGAAATAAATCCCATTTATCCATTGTAATGGGTGAAAAAGTATTCGTACAATACGAAAAAGAATCTTCATTTAATACTTTGAAGAATAGCCATTATTCACTTTTACAGCAACCAACCTCTTCTTGTAGTTCTCAATTAATGATTTGCAAATTTTAGTTGGTATTTTGTTCCATTCTTCAGATCCGAGATGCTTGTTGGAACTCTCGATTGGATTTGAATTTTTGAAACGACGGCACAGATTCTCGATTGGGTTTAAATCTGGGGACTGACTTGGCCATTTCAGGATATTTACATTATTTTCAGCAAGCGATTTCTTCGTAGATTTTGCAATGTGCTTAAAAGATCCAATCAGGAGGAAGTTCAAGATTTTTAACCGAAATCATTAAAAAATATTATGCTTTCAAAATATTATGCTATGCTGTGGAATTCATTCAACCATTTATTATTGATATGTTGCCAGTACCTTTTACGGGAAAAAATGTCGTCGTTGCTCACGTTCGGTCCATAGTATTCTCAGTATCCTTCTGTAGAACCACATTTATGTTGCTTCAAGTCACTTCTTCATCTGTGAGGAGATTGTTCAGCATTCACTGCCATAGAAGAGGACTGATATTACATAAAAGTTCAGTACTTTTTTTCTTTGTTTCTAACGACATTTTTTTCTGTTTCTTAATACTTTGCTCAGCTTTTGGAAGGCATCTTTCGCTATCTCAAATACGCCGTAGGATTTCTGTGTCACACTATCCGTCCGTATATTACATTCCAGATATCTAAGTTTTTGCCCGTGTTTGCTTTCGGCATCTCCAATCTGCAATTTGTATGTTGGTCTGAGCCATTTGCTAACAATCACGCATTCAGTCTTATTGCAAATTATTACTTATTTAAATATACGTATATCGGGGAGAAGCGACGAGATGTTTTTTTTTTTTTTAAGCAGTTCACCGCAAGCAAAGCGGGAGTGCCACTAGCATGCAAGGGGTTACAGAGGATTGAGAACAAGAGTAAAGAGCCACGTTTGAGGAAAGGATACAGAGAAGGACGGGGGCAACAAGCTCAGGGTGTCAGATGTCGATTGACATTACACTTGAATATTTGAAGATTATAGTCATCAGGGAAGCAAATAGGGGGAATCGAGTTCCACAGACGGTAAGTGCGAGAGAAGAAGCTGTTTGAGTAGAAGAGACGGTTACATTTTTCTGTGAAAGGGTGGAACCGAGATGCTGGTAGCTCGCTTAAATTCATGCAGTCCGAGAACACGCAAAAGTAGCTCGTCGAAACAGTTGCCGTGAAAATACTTGTAGAAGAGACAGAGGGAGGCTACGGCACATCTGTTGGATAGCGAAGTATATGTGCGGGTATAGAGATTTAAAAGATTTTACAAACACATCCGTTAGGAATCTCAAAAGTTAACAGTGACGACAAAAATATTATTTTTAAACGCGGATTGTATTCGCAAATGTAATAGAGTATGTTTGTACAATATTGGAGTGAGATTGAGTTCATCTCTTTCAATTTTGATGTTCTTTTATTTTAAATCAAGAAGCGTTTTTATATTAAATTTGTTATACGTTTTCGTGTGCGCCATTAGTTTCGATGCAAATCTATAACCTTTTCAAATTTCCATCTTTTTAATTGATTATTTTAAGATTTTATTTTCAAATATATAAATGTCGCAAGGATTTAAACTGAATGAACCTTACGTTACGCGGCAAATATCATTCTTGCCTTCGTTCACGAAGATTTCATTTGTAATTTGATTGCTAACTAAAATGTCGTCTGCCTCCGGGCGATAGTGTAGATTCAGCCTTGATTTTTGATAGAATTTAGAATTTTTTTCCAAAGCATACTCTCTCTCTCTCTCTCTCTCTCTCTCTCTCTCTCTCTCTCTCTCTCTTTTTACTCACACCCTATCTTTCTTTCTTTCTTTCTTTCTTTCTCTCTCTGTCTCTCTGTCTTTCTTTCTTTCTTTTTTCTCTCTTTCTTCCTTTCTTTCTTTCTTTCGTTTTCTTTCTTTCTCTCTTTCTTTCTTTCTTTCTTTCTTTCTTTCTATCTTTCTTTCTATCTCTTTTTCTTTCTCTCGCTTTCTTTCTTTCTTTCTTTCTCTCGCTTTCTCTCCTTCTTTCTTTCTCTCTTTCTTTCTCTCTTTCTTTCTGTCTCTCTTTCTTTCTCTCGCTTTCTCTCTTTCTTTCTATCTCTCTTTCTTTCTCTCGCTTTCTTTCTTTCTCTTTCTTTCTTTCTCTCTTTCTATCTTTCACTGTTTCTTTTTATCTTTCTTTCTGTCTTTCTCTCTTTCTTTTTATCTCTCTTTCTTTCTCTCCCTTTCTCTCTTTCTTTCTTTCTTTCTATCTTTCACTGTTTCTTCTTATCTTTCTTCCTTTCTCTCTTTCTTTTTACCTTTCTTTCTTTCTTTCTTTCTTTATTTATTTCTTTCTACCTCTCTTTCTCTCGCTTTCTCTCTTTCTTTCTATCTTTCTATCTTTCTTTCTTTCTCTTTTTCTTTCTTTCTTCTTTCTCTCTCTCTTTCTTTCTCTCTTTCTCTCTTTCTTTCTTTCTTTCTCTTTCTCTTTCTTTCTCTCTTTCTTTCTTTCTTTCTTTCTCTCTTTCTTTCTCTCGCTTTCTTTCTTTCTTTGTTTTTTCCTTTCTTTGTTATTTCTATTTGTTTCACTTTTAGTTTCTCTCTCTTCGTAACTTTTTACTCCATTTATCTTCCTATTTTCCATCGCTCCAATTCTTTATCTCTCTCCCTCCTTCACTCTCTCTTTCTTCCTTTTACCTTTTCTGTTTTCTTTTCAGTTTCTCTCCTTTTGTATATTTTTAACTCCATCAGCTTTTCATTTTCTATCTCTTTCTCTCTTTCTTTTCCACTTTCTTTTCGCTTCCAGCTTCTCTCTTTCCGTATTTTTTGCTCTATTTCGTTCAAATCCTCTCTCTCTCTCATTCTTTCATTCTCATTCTCTCTCTATTTCTCTCTTTTTTTCCTTCCTCTATCTCTCTCTCCCTGTTTCTCTGTCTATATTTCTGTCTCTGCTTTTAATTCTCTCTCTCTCTCTCATTTTGTCTGTTTTTTTGTTCTGTTTCTATTTCTCTCCCTCTGCTTATTTCACTCTCTTTCACGTTCTTCGTGGCTTTCTTCGTCTCTTTCCTTTTCACTCTACCATTTTTCTCTGTTTACCTCCCTTTTTCTCACTGTCTTTGTTTCTTTCTTTCTATCTCTCTTTCTCCCTTTGCTTCCCTATTTCTCTTTCTATTCCCCTTTAAACTTCCTTGCATCTCTGTTTATTTTTTTTATTCTCTCTCTCTCTCTCTCTCTCTCTATATATATATATATATATATATATATATATATATATATCAGTTTTCTCGATGTCTTTCTCTCTTTTTCTCCCTCCATTTCTTTATCTCTTTCTTTTTTTTTTTTTTTCTCCTGCATTATCTGTCACTCTCTGTCTGTCTTTAAAACGCCCTCGTTTTATCCTTCTCTCTTTCTTTCTATCTCGATTTCTCAATCTGAGTTTCTCTATTTTTACTTCTTTTCTCTCTCTCTCTCTCTCTCTCTCTCTCTCTTAATGCTTCTCTCTCTCTCTCTCTCTCTCTCTCCTTTCTCTTTCCCCTTCCCGTCCATTTTCCTTTCTTTAGTAATACGAAATCGTTACCTGAAAAGCGATAAGTCTTTAACTAAAACAAATTTATCATTTTAAGAGCGGCATGACTGTCTTTTTCGAATAAACCAAAAATTAAGTGCAATTTAATTTCCAATACCCAAAATGACGACCACGAAAGAAAAGCAAAGAATTTTCATCGTGCCATCTTGTTTTTGGCAGGAGGCCAATCCAAAATCTGCGAGTGACATGAAACTAGCGGGAAATAAATTTCTGTCTGAGAGAAATTGGATGGATATTGGCTTTGTTATTAGATTTTCACTTTCCTTAATATTGCTTCACTCAGTCTGAATCTTATAACATTTCTTTCAAAACATTTTACATGTCTATCAATATCTCGATTGATCTATACTACATTATTATAAATTAACCCATTTTCCTAATGCTATATCCCTCTATCGTAAACTTCCTTCTATCAATTATGACGGGATAGAAGAAATTCTCTCGCACTTCTCGCCTGTGGAACTCTATTCTTGCTTCTTGCTTCCTAGTCAATGTTTACCTTAAAAAAATTAATTGCAATGTCAATCGTTCTCTTCTACTTTCTTGAAAACTGTTTTCTATTGTCCTCGCTGCTTATATCTATATCTATAATTCTCAAAATGTATGTGTGTGTGTGCGTGTGATCGGATGTTGTTTATGCGGTTCCACAATTTTCATCCGATTTCAATGATTTTTTTTTTTTTTTTTTTTTGATAGTTATTTCTTCAGTGCCGGTTTTGAGTCCAAATTGGCTGGAAGAAATTACAACCTTGAAGGTGAAAAATCGAAAAAAAACTGATTTTTCTACACTTTGCACAAAAGTCAAAGACAAAATTTAATGTCTGTAAAAAACAGCGTACAATCAATTGAAATCTAACGCAATTGATTATTATAATTATAAAAAAAAATTATATTATAAATAAAAATTATCGTATATTATTATTATGACGGTCCATAGAAGAGGTTCCTTCCTTGCAAGATTGAGAATGCAAAAACGGCTCTTTTCAGGACCCCCCATTCAAATTGTTAACACCCCCATTTGAAGATGTGCCTCAGTTGCACCCATTTGTTGTTCCTAATACTGATTTTCTGGTGGGCTGACTTTAAACTTAAACTGCTCCAAATGAACGGCAAAAATTCTCACTAATGAAACACCCAGTCGAAGACGGGTTGGACTGTTAGTATAAGAAAAGGATGAGCAGCTCTAAAAAGAATCTGCCCAAAATCTGCTTACTAGCAAAAAAGTACTCGATGGGAGAGCTTCAACATTAAATCAAACTTCAGGTAGGTAGTGACCGGCCACGACTGCTAGTTTCATGCGTTTGCATGCAACCGTCAGTCGGCCGGTGGCTGTAGTTTTGTAGAATGGGTACCCGAAATACCGCCAGGCGAATTCAATATGGCGGATAAACCACATCCGCTCAGTGGGTGGAATAGGGTAACCCATCCGGCCAAGATCAAAAATAGACGAAAACTAAAAAAAAAAAGTGAATACGTTCTACCGGGAAAAAAGGCTTACCAGTATGGCAAAGAAAATTGCCAGTAAGCAGTTTTGGGGCAGAATATTTTTTGAGTTGCTCATTCTTTTCTAATATTTTAAATGCTCTGAAGTGCGTTTAGTGGCCCGGTTCAGTAAAGCACTTTTTGGGCCTTAGCTCCTTTACCATAGCGCTTATGTCATTGAGCAATTTTCTTTGGTATACCAGCAACATTTTTCCCGGTAGAACTTGTTTATTTTTAGATTTTGGAAATTTTTGATTTTGGCCTGATGGCTTACTGTTCCCCACGTCCAGGCGGGTTTGGTTGGTCCGCCATATTGAATTCACTTGTTTGTATATAGGGTACCCATTCTACATAACTACAACCACCGGCCGCCTGACGATTGCGTGCAAACGCATGAAACTAGCAATCTGGGCCGGTCACTGCCTACCTGGAGTGTGTTCATATATATTGTAGCTAAATTGTAACTAATCGTAGGTACACAGGTCGATACCCGATCAGTATCGGCTGGGTGACCGTGGAGAGGGGATATGATGTTGAAAGACCCGAAACCCCTAATGAACCTCGGTTAGAAACATCACTGAGGGTGTGTACTAAAGCATCCAATAGATGTATTTTACTATCTATCTATATATATATATATATATATATATATATATATATATATATATATATTATAATAAAGAGAAAGAACAGTAAGATATATAATCCGGTGTTCTTATTAATATCTTTATTTTTTTACAAAACAGTGCTCAGAGCATAAATATTATAAATTTACTTATTTAAAATATGGTTCCATCGCTACACAGGAATTACCATGTTTCAAAATCAGAAGCTAAAAACTCCAAATTCAATTATAGAATAAATAAGGTAAAATATAATTTTAAGGGATGCTATATTTATGAATTAAAGTGTTCAATATCAGAGCGTATGTAAAATAAAAGCGGAAATTGAAGTCAGCATCTGGAGGTAATTACATTTAGCATGAAACAGACTGTCGCCTCTGGGTGTTGACTTCAGTGTCCACTTTCATACACATAGAGAGAACTACTCGCCAATTGTAACGTTATCATCATCAAGAACAATGAAAATATAAATCGATATTATTCACACGTAACATGAAATTTTATTCTACTCCAGGCTTTAATTACCATTGGCCAATGGGTGTGTAGTCCCGGGGCCCCTCTCCGAACGTAGATCCTACGTTCTCGTTGGATTCAAGAGACTTCTCCTTTTTGTGCTTGGTGTTTAGATATCTATGTGTCATTCATTTGGTAGAAGGCCCAAGTGCCACTAAATCTACAGAGTTACTGAATTAAATAGTTGTAAGGGTGTAGTTAATAATGAAATAAGAAGAGGTGCGTAAATATCGTGAGGATATGCAGGATAGATAATGCTTGACCCTAGAATTGAAGAGGTTATGTTATGGGTCGATCGCATACCATACCTTTCGTGGTTAGCTACTGCCATGCTGTGAGGCAGGGATCTGCAACTGTTGGCTAGGAGGTTATCTTTCAAATCAACTCATTGAAGCACCTGTTTTCTCTGACGTCCCACTGAGTGAAAGTCTCTTCATATCCATTATTAAATCAATTAAATTCTATTAAATCAATTAAATTCTATTCCTATCTAAAAAAAAATGTAGAAAATTTGTTTCTTTTTTTATATGTTTCTTTATTTTACGCAACAATCAAATCAGTATCAGCACGGTGTGTGTGGATACAGACCCCACACTTTTAACAATTATTCAATTTCTTTTTCACTTTCAACATTGATACGATACGACTTTCCTTTCAGACTTGGTAAAAATACATACCAAAAATCGAAGCACTGCTATCGGAGTGAACAGGACTGAGGGCCCTCTCCATATACACATTATTAGTTTTAAATTGCAAATTGAACAGAAATTTGCTTTATTGTTCAAGTTAAAATGTTGCCCTAACAGAAACATCGTACGGTGTGCCGTTATTTTACAGTCTTACAGTAGCAAGCATGCTAAAAATAAAAAACAGAATCATTATAATAGACATCTATCAGGCGACTCTCGTCTTCTCAAGTGTTATTTGTGAGTATTCAATCGAGAAAATGCTTAACTTCAGGACAGCAGTCTTTCCACTTCAGCGTTGAGTAGAAAAGTTACAATTTCCTCTTGCTGAAGTGCCGATGATGTTACGAGAAACGGTAAATAAACGCCAGGTATGTTTTGCCTCAGCAACGTACAAGATTTGTCAGGTCTAGCGTCGAATCGGTTGTCGTAATGAAACTGATCTGACAGCATTAGACAAAGAGAATCCGAGTCGATTTCCACTGTTCTGAAACTGCGCCAAATATCTCTCTGAATGGTAGCAGGCTGATCGTCTTTAGTACTTGTGGCGCCTCTTAAATAGACTAGTTTACTTGTAAAATCTAGCTATATTTTTTTATTACAGTGTAACCCGGATATAAGAGAAACCCGGATATAAGAGAGATTTTCTCTGGTCCCAAATTAGAGCCTGTGTTAATGGATATAAAATAGACCAAACCCGGATATAAGAGAAACCCGGATATAGGAGACTTTTTCTCTGGTCCCGACAACTCTCTTATATCCGGGTTACACTGTAGTATTTTTTTTTTACAAATTATCATTCATTAGACCATTTCAAGGCGCGACATTTATCAAAATCGAAGAATATTGGGGTTTTTTTTATCATTTTAGAAGGAGGGTTTTGTTTATAATATAAACACTGTTCAAAAAATTGATCCCTGACATTTTAAATAGTTTTCTGTACTTCTATATTTAAAATATATCTATCTATCTAAAATGTCAAGTTTTAAGCTGCGCTTACGTCACTGACAGTGGCATACGAATTTTTTACATAAAAAAATTTCATTGAAATAAAGAACAAACGGGTAAATATATTTTTATCGTTTTATTTTAAAAATACAATAGCAGTTGTTTTTTTCTGGATATATATATATATATATATATATATATATATATATATATATATATATATACCAGAAAAGAAATATATATATATATATATATATATATATATATATATATATATATATATATATATATATATATATATATACCAGAAAAAAAAAATATATATATATATATAATTATGAAATGGACTAAGTCCGACAATTATTTTAATATATTTTCTGTTTATACCCTATTTTTATAGATACAAATATTTAAGTAAATGCTCTGCTTACAATAAACAGTATTAACAACATTTACCGTCCTGAATATCCGAGAAATATCAAAGAAAATATTTGTCCTCCGACATGTGTTTGAGAAAAAAAATTTATATACATATATATATATATATATATATATATAATATGACATGAAAACTGTTTCATTGAAACTACTAATGAAATAATAAAAATGTAAATGCCTATAAAATGGTACAATAATAGTGGAAGTAGAATCTGTACACAAAACATTCCCGTATTAGATAGATAGATAGATAGATAGATAGATAGATAGATAGATAGATAGATAGATATGAAAAGAGATAAAGAGGAAGATATG